TTTGGGTCAACCCATGTACCCTCCTAGAATTAGGAATGAAAATCATTCAAAGAGATGGACCATTAAACTATTTTTATATATTCACATTTTTTTTTATGTCAAAAGAAAGTATTAGTTACATGAATAAACAGCGGTCTGGGAAGGGGAAGGAGCGAGGGGAAGGAGTTATCTCTTTACGTCTTAATTGTTGAAAACTCCTAAAATAAATGTTAACCTCAAATCCGACTTGTACGTCTTCATTATTTTTAAGTGGTGACAGGTGTCTCCATATGAGTGAAAATTCCCGAGAGGGACATTTAACAACAAACAAACATTAATGACTTAAAAAACACAATATACATATACATGTTTATTAGTCAACGGATATACTTCTGGTCATATTTCTAGTTCTCCCTTGAGTCAAAAATGAATCATATAAATATTTTAAGAATGATTAATTGTTGAAAAGGTTGTGCATATTAAAATTGACTAAGCTCTGTGGTTGAATTAGCTATACCAGTTTAGCTTATTTTGCTACTCAAAGCACCTTGATTAACTATTTTTAATCATAGTTTTTTTAAACATGGATACAAAGCATACATTTTCAGCTTCTGAAAACAATGCATGAAAAACAAGATGTGTTTGTGAAACACTGATGCCCACGTATGGCAGCTTATGGCGAAGGTTAAAGTTTCTCAAATGCAAGTCAAAATCCAGGCCGAAAGATAAAAATTGTTGGTACCCAAAGAAAGGTCTTGTCTCGAGGAGTATACCTGTGAAATTTGAAAGCCCTAGCTGCAACTGTTCAAAAGTTATGGCAAAGGTTAAAGCTTTTTTAAAAGTAAGTAAAACGTCAAGGTCAAAGTTGTTGGCATCCAGAGGAAGGTCTTGTCACAAGGATTACATATGTGAAGTATGAAAGCCCTAGCACCAACAATTCAAAAGCTATGGCCAAGGTTAAAGTTTTTTGAAAGTAGGTCAAATCCAAGGTCAAAAGGTCAAAGTGTTGGTATCCAAAGAAAGGTCAGGAGGTAGTAGATCTTATTGGATCGAGGCGCCTGATTCACTATATTAATAGGAACCCTTATACCAAGAATACGCGGTGACGGGTTACCCAGTCACATTTAGTCCTTTAAAAATACAGTAGCATCCGGTAAAACCTCTGATAGTTTAATTGTCTTCTAATTATATATACTAGGGATGTCAACGAATAGTCGACTATTCGACCATCAGTCGAATGGACCGACGATCGAATAATGAAACGACATTCGAATAAATAAATTTCAATAAAAGAGTGATAAAGAGATAGAATTCTCATCCTAAAATTGAGAAACCGGCCGTCTTTCCTCAGACACAGTCAATAAGATAATTTTCCTCATTAAAAACTGCTGGTTTTATATGTAGAAAGTACAGTAATTAGAAATGCTTCACTTCTGCGAGCATTATTTGTCAATTAATGTGTTGTTTTCGTAATAAAATTATCTCGTTACACTGCGCTTTCTCTGTAAAATTATTAATTGGACTTGATCTCATACCATGTACCCATTATAGCCGTGACATGTTTTGACACTAAGATAATTATTATAAAATTAATATTCTTTTATGTATCTTAAAGACATTATGAAAGTTGGTACAAAAAGTATATTCAAATATTTAACAATACAACATTATCACAAATTTACCGTGTGTGCCCCCCCCCCCCCCCATCATTTTAATAAGCTTTAAAATGATATATCATACTGTCATTTTTTTTATGCTTCCTAAAAAAACGACTTTACGGATCGATTTATGAACATGATTGACTGGGAAATCATACATTTTAGGTCTATATAAACATCTGTGAGTAACATTTGATGTTACTTTTTAATGAATTTAAGAAAAGGGGACTTCGGGTTATTAAATATGTCATGTACCAGTGAAGTTTGAAATAAAATTTTAGTTTCCGAAAAAGTTTCGAATATATTCGACTATCGTTCGAATAATGCAATCGAGTATTCGACTACAGAAAATAAATATTTTGACATCCCTAATATATACAGAATCATTATACTCAGGAAAAATTAAAGAAAATTATTATCGCCTAATCATTTTACTCAGACAGAGTACGAGGAAAATCAGATATCCCTTAAAAAGAACCCTGGTTAGGATATGTCCAGATAAACACGCTACAACTGTATAAACCGAGGTCCCGTATTGCAGTAGTTGTTGACACAAAAAAAGATCCCTGACACTGCTCAATGGCTCTAAGTGTCGACCATAGTTAAAATTTGCAGCCCTCCACCGGCAAGTGGTGGCGTCTCCATATGAGTGAAAATTCTAGAGAAGGTTGTTAAACAACAAGCAAACACCGTTCTATACTAAACGTTAAAAATAATATATTCATAATGTACTTACCGCCTTTGATAGATACTGTTAACTAGATAGAATAATAAATCCATTTAAAACACACACTAAATATTAATAATCCCAGTGGTAATAATGATGTACATACACCATGTGCAAAACAATAATGATAACGGTAAAAGTAGTGCTCGCAGTATGACGTAATTCGACGCACATGTCTAGAAATTTTCCAAAAAGATGTACATTTGTAAAATTTATATCATAATTACATACAATTTTTTTTTCATACGTTTATGTTTTCTATTCTAAATATGACAGGAAAACGGGTGAATCGTGGGTGGGGGTCGATTTTTGACAAAGTTGATTGGGTCAAGATTTGGAAAGGGGTTCTTTGAGTCCTACCCAAATACTGATAAAAATTTGCACAAGTTGTCATTTTGGCATCTAATTTTTTTTAAGTTCATCAAAAAAGCTATACACTAAAATAATAATATTTGCTGTTTTGACAATAAATTCAAGAAGTTCCAATTATGGGTAGAAAATTGACCACTCCCTTTTTTTTTTTTACACAAATCTTTCAAAAATTCTCTCTTTATCAAAATTTACATTATACATATTATTATTATTTTTTTTTTTTTTTTGCTTGTCAAGATATTTCTGGGTTGGATCCCCTTTGGAAAAATTCCTGGATCCACACTTGATTTACATAAGAGGCCTATATGGGCTGCATATTCACCTGAGCATTTTATGCTTGATTTAAATGTGTGCTTCTTCCCTGGTTACCAGAATTTGAAGGAGAGTAGTCAGTGCACATTTCAGGGACGTAGCAACGTTTTTGAAAAGTCAGAGAAAAAAATTTCAACTTACCTGAAAAAACTTGACAAGCCAAATTATTTTTTTTTTCAAAACTCAAAAATCCTATTTCGTGGGGTGGGGTGGGGGTGGGTTCCAACTTCTTTCAGTACCCCAATTTTATATAAACACTACTACATTACCTTTATTTGACTATAATGCAACAAAATGTTGGGGAGTGGGGCAACCACCCTTTCATGAACATTTTCAATAGTAAAATGTTGTGTTTCTAAAAAAGTGGGTGGGGGGCAGGCCCCCCCCCCTTCCCCCCCCCTTAAACTTCGTGCCTGCATTTAGAGGCAAACATATTAGAGCGGGTATTACTTATGACAGCATCTAGTCAATTTATTTTGTGGTTCTTTCGATCGCGAATTCAGTCGCGAAATGACTGCGAATATTAGCACTTCGCGTAAGTCTTTCACCACAGTTAAATTTGAAATGATGGAGAATGATGCTATGGTTGCATACAGTAAACACAAGAACATAGGTGAAGGAAACATATGAGATTAAAATCAAGTGAGAACAGATTGATCGATGTGCACTACAAACTGGAAAAGTGCTACATCTATTAATACCACTGAAACGTTCTTAATTAGATGTGATACGTAAGCAATTGGTCGAAGGCTTCATTAAAAGTGTTGGGTTCTCAAACGTTTAAGACGTTCTGGTTGCTATATTAAGATGCCATTGTTTTACTACAATTTTGAAAAACTGGAAAATTTTACAAAAAAGACACAGAACCATACGGTTCTTCTTTGAAATGTCGGATCCTAGTAATTATAAGCTTTGGCTTATTGATGTATGATTGATGTATCATTGTGTTTAAATGCAAAACAAATCCTTTAAAAGGAAGGATTATTGCGTTCAAAGCGCAAAAATTATTGCCTTTCATCGCAAACGTATTGCATTTAATCGCAAAAGTATTGCGTTTAAACGCAAAAAAGTATTGCGTTTAATCGCAAAAGTATTCTTGCGTTTAAACGCAAAAAGTACTGCGTTTAATCGAAAAATTATTGCGATTTAATGCAAAAGATTGCGTTTATTCGCGACCTAGTGCGATTAAACGCAAAGTGTTTTTGTTTAAACGCAATATACATTGCGATTAAACGCAATCTTTCGTGTATAAAGGCAATTATTATTGCAACTAAACGCAATGTTTTGCGTTTAAATGCAATAATTATTAAAATTTTAATTTTTATTAAAAAATATTTCTTTCTCTTAACTGGCCTCAACGGGGTTCCGTAGATTGTTAATTCTGATCCAAAATATCTTTTGTGTAGTTATAAATATAAAAACAAGATAGGAAGATTAAATTTATATACAATTGGAGAGGAATGATTTAAATGTTATTCAATCAATGTGTACACAAGGAAGAGTTTTATTTTTACATGTAATATCCTCGTTGGAATTTCATTGACTTTGAGTGAGTATTCATTTCTTCGAGTATACATGACAGACAGACATTCTTTATTTCCTCTATAGTACAGAGATTGGTTCTATCATATTGAAAAACATTTAACGTCAACAGTGCATAATAATATATATCATACCCATATTAGGATTAGATAAATACACGTACCCATGTTGGGATAAGATACATATACGTACCCATATTAGGATTAGATACATACATGTACCCATATTAGGATTAGATACCTTTATGTACCCATATTAGGATTAGATACATACAGGTACTTATATTAGGATTAGATACATACATAATATATGTACATGTGCAGTGAAGACAAAAAAGTTCACTTTTTTTCACAGTGGAATATCAACAAAGTCAATAATTTATATCTTTTATGCATTTTTTACCTTACATGTATTTAAGTTATATTAGGAAATGCAGCATGGATTTGAAGAAATGCAATACTGGCATCAACGGGCCAAGGAGGAAGCATTTGAACGTATGCTATTTTTATAAATTGTTATAGAGCATTTAAGAAAATTCGTGATACTATTAAATATTATTTATAAGACGAATAATGAACATTTCTTGGCGAGTATTTCCTTGTTTTACACGAAATGAATCTCATTCCATTTGTCTGATTTACTAATGCCCCCCTATTGATGCTCGATCACCAATCACATTAGACAATTTGGTACTAAAATTCGTATTTTTTCCATGATGATTTGGAATTTTCAGAACCAACACAAATTAGAAAAAAAAACTTTGTTGAAGGATAAAGACAAATGTTGACAGTTATTTCTTCATACAACAATCATATTTGGCAATATTTTCCATTTATTTCCATTTAACAATAATGAATATTTATTGACTTCCTTGTACAAGTAATATGTATTATGCTATAATACTTGTCGATTTTTATTTCTGTCTTGATTGCTACATGTAGTTTCAATCTTGAATGAAGAACATGATTCCGAATTTAATCTTTGTTTCTTGTTGTCTGTATCTTTGCAGAAAGCTTATAATTAATAAGTAAACATGAATTACTATCGTTTTGAAAAAGTTGAAGAAAGTGCACATTTAATCTAAACAACAAATAAAGGCCAGAAGTGAAACATAATTAACTTGCATGTTATCAATGTTCAATCTTTTTTTTAAAACTTAATATACAACTCTTTTTCTCTAAATTTGATTTTCAAGTTTTTAAAAGACAACACCAACAGGGAAAGGGAATGTGTACTGTCTTTCTACTTGATGCATCAGAGAGCATGGCTGGAGAGGGCTTTAGGCAAATGAAGAGAAGTTTCTTGGACATTATAAATGGTTTCTGCTTTTTAAAATAATATTCCTGCTTCTCATTATCCAGTGAATTATTTAATTTGTTACATCAGTCGTTGCTTTTCCATTTTCTATAAAACAGAAATTGCTGATCACAGGGAGGAAGATGAAAACGTGGCGGTGTTGTGTTTTGGTCAAGAAGTAAAGTTCATCCACTATTTATCAAACAACTATGATTCTATAAGGAAGTGTATTGGTATATATATTTATTTTACGAATATTTCCTTCACCGTATTTAAATTCATTATATTTAAAGGAAAAAATGATAATGTCAATAGAAGAATGACTCATTTTTTCTGTCCGTACCACTTTCCTTTTTCAGATAGAATTGAGTGCAGAGGAAGTTCTCCTATGGAAGCTGGATTCCTTTTGGCCACATCATGTTTTCTCAATAAAAGTCGGATAAGGAATCTCTCTCTCTCTCTCTCTCTCTCTCTCTCCTTTAGTGATTTCTTGATCATCATTTTTGTGTTTCACTGCATTTTGATTTATGTAGAGGATTTGTCGTGTAAATGAATTTTAATAAATTTCTTAATTTAGCATTTTAGTTTAAAATACTTTGTAATTCTTTTTAGTTATTGAAATTAAATTTCCGGTGTTTGCAAACAATGTATATTCTAAAATCATAATACCAAGGTAGTGTTTTCTTAAAATCCTACGATATGCAAATTAAATGGGAAACACACAACTTTTTAAATAATGTTATGAAGCACTTAAGTTAACCAAGGATTGTATGTTACAGGCAACCTTAATACGGATATTGTTACTGCAGCAAGATTGATCGTGATAACGGATGGTCAACCGACAGACCCTTTAGATATTAACAAACCCGAACCCCCAGCGGCCTCTGAAAACCGATTTAGTACTGTTAGTATTCTTAAAAATATGCCTGTTAATTTCTATCTTTACTTAATTTCCGAATATGTAGGACATTTTCTGTGTTTTAGTTTATAGCCAGATTACAAGCAACTGTAGCTGCAACTGGAATGGTAGGTCCTGTGTTATTTATTCCTGTTGGATCAGAACCGAATAAGGTATACTCAAACATTTTCGCTTAACGTTTACCAAACAATATGTATTCTGTTAGTCATTATTTCCTTTTATGAAATCAATTACTGTAAATTTATTTGTTTTCGTGTATTAAATTAAATTTGTGGTTGGAAAAGTTAATTAGATGAGTAAGAATGTGATTTTGATGTTAACGAAATGTACTTAAACTGTACTTTATCATTTTCACATTTCATGGAGGACATGGATCTGTTGGTCACTGCATAACACAAAACAATGAAAAAAAATCCCAGCGAAATGTTGTGATTTTACAATAATCACATATTTCCAAATAAAAATTATTTGCAGAAACTATTGGAATCTATTTGCAACTTTGCAAAAGGAGTAAGAATAGTTCATCATCCTCATGTGCAGCAAGTTGGGCGATTTTCAAAGAATATGGTGAGAATATCAATGTGAATTTTGATGTAGATATATCCAATAGTCACATCAGATATATGGTTTGAATATTAATCGCAACAGAAATAATGTTTGGTTTAATTTTACAGAGAATTATTACGCACCTGTTAAGACATAAGTCTCCAAGGGAAATCACTGCTGATGATATAAAATCTTCTGTAGCTGAACACTCATCTTATGTGACAAACAGAGATATAGTAAGACAACAATGTCGTTACATGTTAAGTTTTAGTTTTTCTTTTCAATGCGTCTACAATATGTAAAGAATTTGTGTAGATGATTTTATATTTTCATTTATAATTATCTTGTGTGAAAGTTTCGAGGTGTCTTAGCAAATAAACTTAAGATCATCTTCTCAAGATTTTTTAATTATTAAAAATATCTGCACTTATTTCAGGCCACCGTTTGCTCGAATAAAAATCCCATTAGGACCAGAATTAAGTATACATATATGTCTAGAGAATATATATTTTTAAACTTCATCTTATCTGAACCAGAATTATTTGTCATAAGAAGGGAGTTCCGCGTGTAATCTTTTGTTGTTTTTATCATGTTGACTATAATATATATGACAATTGAGTAATTTTTTTTGTGATTTTTGACTTTAATCACAAAGAAACCATTTTCACAGGTATATGGGTGAAATATGTGGAGATTACGAACAATATTCGAGCTCAAAAGTCCATTAAATAATAAAAAATAGGAGCAGAGCAAACAGGAACCTTTAAGACATCAAAGGTGGGATCAGGTGCCATGGAGGCGTGAGTATCCCCTGCCGACCAGTCTTACCCGCCGTGAGCTCCTTGACATGATCGGGAAATAACGGAAAAATCCGTCGACAATTCAGTGTGTAGATACTGTAAACTAACTTTTATTCGCGTGCGAGATATATCGGCGAGTTTCACGACCTACTTTTACTCGCGAATATTAATCGCCGCGAACCATTTATTTTGCTGTGTATTTGTAGAAAATGTTTCCTCAGTCGCGAAAATTAATCGTCGCGGATTGATTTCAAACTGACGAATCGCGAATAAAAGATGTCGCGAAAAACAGTTGCTTTACAGTAATGGCCTAACAATTAGTATGAAAAAAGTCAGTCATCAGTATTTGACTTAATGATAAATTGTATTTGCTGACAAGGTCATTGTATCGACCTTAGAACTTATGAAATGATGACTTTAAACGAGACTGCTGATATTCTTGTTTCATCAACTTGTTTGTCAATAACTTACTTCGTTTTAGAAATTGTTCATACGTAGAGGATGGGCTGGCGTATCGAATCAACTGAGAGATATAAACCCCGTATGCATGTGATAAGAGTATACTGCTGCATACAGTACCAACCAGACCCAACCTGCCACCAAAGCAGTCCCAGAAAGCAGTCCCCGGGACTGCTTTGGGACCGCTCTGGGACTGCTGTGGGACTGCTCTGGGACCGCTGTGGGACTGCTCTGGGACCGCTATGGGACTGCTCTGGGACTGCTCTAGAAAGCAGACCCAGCAGTCCCTGGGACTGCTTTGTTCACTCATGCGTGAAAAAGGTTCTGAGTGACATGATAGCTCCGCCCCTTGTGTATTCTGAATTTGCAGCTCCTTGTTGTTGTTTTGTTTACTTTCTGCAGAAAGGTGTTTAAGAAAAAAGCAAATATAAAAAACAAGTATTAATTTCTTACAAAAATTAAATAAATAGAGATAGTTATACATGTAATTACTAAATGTCTTCAGAGGGCTGTAAATTTACGCAATTGTAGTCTAGAATTAATTTTAAGAAAATAAAAGTAGTTAAAAAGGGACGTCAGGGGATAATTTTTATCCCTTAAATTAAACTTCAATACAGGTGTTTGAAAAAAAATTATCTAAGCCTATTTAATAAATTAATGGTGTCAAATTACATATGTACTCAAAATTTGCATTAGCACTATTTAAAAAGAACAAACAAAATACAAACAAACTTGTCATTTCAGTAAGATACATGTATTCAGAGGAACGTACTGTACTGGATTTTTTTTTCTTAATTGAAAAAGCTAATACCATGCTTAAAAAAGAGCACTCCATGCTATTTTTTACCACCCTCAAATAAAACCTAATAATTTATTTAATGATCATGAAATAAAATTATTCTACCATTCTTCTGTCACATAAACAATGTGAACAATTATTCGGGGACTTATTTATGAATTAGTTTTTAATTTATAAACAAGTCATTAAAAGAGCACATTTATTTAAAAAATAAACATTTGAAAATATCGGGAATTGTGACTTGTTTCTTATTTCTTTTGTTTGTGTTTACCTGGCCGGTTAATACAATGGGATTGTATAAAATGGTGTCAACACCTGAGTTTTCAATCGCCTTTGGGCATAATTAGCAGAAAGTCAATGCATGTTATTTGGGTATCAGTGTTACACACCACTGAACACGCTGGTCAACATTGACACCAATTTCAATCTATGTCCTGCAAAAAATCTTAGTATCAATAATTGTGTATAAATTTATTTCGGGATTAATTAATTTTGAACATAATCTGAGGGTTCCGTTTGCGTGATTTACAGATGTACACTCGAACATTTATATAATAAAACACTTAAAACTGAGAATCTAACGATAATTAAATTGGGAAGTCATTGAAAATAATCATGACTGAAATGTAATACTCGTCAATGTTTAACAAAGAATTTTTCAAAAGCTCCAATACTTAAGAAAAATGCATTCAGAGTATAGTATGGGAATCGGCCTTGCTTTATTATTAATATTATCTATTTAAAGCTAATTCTGGTATAAAATAAACAATTCAAGTTTAATTTTCTATATAAAAAAAATAAATATGAAAACCAATATCAATCACAAAAAATAAAGAAATTGGTTTATTTTGGTTAAAAATTAATATACCAAATAATTGTGTTTAAATATTCATGTTATTAATAGGTGTGAACATCTTCTTCATTCAATAATTATAATTTGTTTCTATACGCGTACTGTGATTTTCTTAAAAGTTCAGAAATGACTGTCGCGTAAGAATTGTAAATATTTGTTGATACTACTCAGAAAGAATTGCTCATCAATTTCAACTGCCTTTTATATAGTTACATTGTTTATTCGTAATCTCATTCTGAGTAAGCTCCACCCATTAAATTAATTAACCCCGCCCATTGGGACTGCTGGGACTGCTTTCTGGGACTGCTTTCTGGGACTGCTGTGGGACTGCTCTGGGACTGCTCTGGGACCGCTCTGGGACTGCTTTAGCAGTCCCAAAAAGCAGTCTCCGGGACTGCTCTGGGACTGCTTTGTGTCAGGTTGGGTCTGGTTGGTACTGTAGGTGAGGGAAGTTGACGATTGAAAAGTCATCACGTTTATCATAAAGCTTTGTTGTTAGATTACCATTAACGTCTTTTCTAATAAAATATCCAAAAATGAAACAAATATGTTATACTCTGTGGTATCTTTTTTTCTCAAGTTCATTGGGATATATCGTGTCGGTTCAAAACAATTATACAAGAAAGCATATCATATTTAAATGAAGTCCTGAAGCACATTATTGAAGCAAGCAAATGATAAAAGTTATAAATAACTTATTATCCCTTTATTCCCAGGAAGATATTTTAGAAATTATAGGAAATCATGATAAATCCAGTTCAATAACTTTGTCGGACTTTGCCATGAAAAACTTCGATGAATCGTTTACGGAGCGCTATTCCGATATGCCTTCAATTGGTACCCGAGTCAAACGTGGACCTGACTGGAAATGGGGAAACCAAGATAGCATGGGTCCAGGAACCGTTGTAGGACATTCAACAGGTGACTCCTAAACCAAAACAGACGATCAAGAAAGCTTGAATTTAAACGACCAAAAAATACTGATACCTTTCACATTAGAAACTGAGAAATATGATAAAAACCTGTAACTGAATTACATGTATGTTTGTGTTTTGTAATAGTCGGTTGGTTGTTTGTTGAGTGGGACAATGGAAGTACATGTAACTACAGATACGGATATAATGGAAAGATTGCGAAATATGATTTAATTGAATGCGATGAACCAAGAATTCTTCTTTATCATCAACAAATTGCTACTGGTTGTTTAGTTTCAAGAGGTATTTACATGCAAAATATGATATCAATGAGGATTCTACCTGAATATCTTTTTTTTTCAATAATTCAAAATGCATATAAACTGTATGTCAGAAAAAAAACCAGAAACATTCTGAAAACATTTGATATAGTATTTAAATCACACAAAATTTAAGTTTTATTCTTAATTATTTACTGAAAAGGGTTGTTTCATCAATTGCAAATTATTTTTTAACTTTATTCCAAAACATTTGCATGTATGTACCAGTTTTAGCTTCAATGACTGTGCTTTTCCTATAATTTTGTTGGATCTTATTATGATAAGGACCAGACTGGAAATGGCACGACCAGGATGGAGGAGAGGAAAACATTGGAACAGTTTACAGAGTACAACAGGCAGTTATTTATGTAAGATAACAAATTATTATCAATAATAATACATATACGTACATATTCTAATTATTCATAAATTTGTGTGATTCATCACTGGGACATGTGTATAAAAGGTTCATCATTTGATTTGAAGGTGAAATGGCCCCATGGTGTGAGGAGTAATTACAGATTTGGATATCGAAATAAATTCGATGTTAGAATACGGTAAATATGATTTAATTCATTACACAAGAATTCCTTCTTGATATCTCTAACAAAAAAAAATACTATAGTAAACTATAGTTTACTATAGTTCACTATAGTTAACTATAGTTAATCAAAGTTCCATAATTTTACTATAGTAAGTCAAAATTCCAAAGTTTTTAATGGTAAATCAAAGTTACAAAGTTTTCACTATAGTAAATCAAAGTTCACAAGTTTTCATTATAGTAAATCAAAGTCCCAAAGTTTTTATTAAAGAAATCAAAGTTTCTAAGTTTTTTCTAAAGTTTATCAAAGTTTCAATGTTTCCACCATAGTTTATCAACTTATTAAAGTATTTTAATATTTTTTGGCTTATTTTGCCGTTTTTAGGGAGTGGAGGTGGGGTTTAGTGGGGGCTGGGGGTTGTTGTACATCATAATTTAAATTTAGAAATAAGTTTATTGAAATGCAATATTTACATTTATAAATTGAAAAAAGAAAGTTTACTGAAATTCTTGGAGCGGATATTTTGGTTCTAAATGACGCAAATTTTATTTTATAGCATGAAATATATGGAGATAACGTTCAGTATTCATGCTCAAACGTCCATTAAACATTACAAAATAGGTGCAGAGCAAAATACGGACCTCCAAAACATCAGAGGTGGGATCAGGTGCCATGGAGGAGTGAGCATCCCCTGCCGACCGGTCACACCCGCCGTGTGCTCCTTGTCATGATCGGGAAATAACGGAAAAATCCGTCGACAATTCAGTGTGTGAATAATGGCCTAACAATTAATATGAAAAACGTCAGTCAGCATTTGACTCAACGATAAATTGTATTTGCTGACAAGGTCATTGTATCGACCATAGAACTTACGAAATGATGACTTCAAACGAGACTGCTGATATTCTTGTTTCATCAACTTGTTTGTCAATAATTTACCTCGTTTTAGAAATTGTACATACGTAGAGCATGCTCTTGCGTATCGAATCAACTGAGAGATATAAACCCCGTACGCAGGTGATGAAGGTATATTGCTGCACAAGTAAGGGAAGTTGACGATTGAAACGTGAAAGTCATCACGTTTATCATAAAGCTTGGTTGTTAGATTACAATTAACGTCTTTTTCAAGTAAAATATCCAAATATGAAACAGATGTGCCAGACTCTGTAGTATCTTCTATCTCAAGCTCACCGGGATATATCGTATCGACATAAGAATGGAAATTACAATTGTTAATTGACAATACGTCGTCGATATATCTAAATGTCGAGTTGAAGGCCACAGCAATTGTTTTCTTTTTATCACGTATAAGATTTTGGACAAATTCTGCTTCATATGAATACAAAAAAAGGTCTGCTAATAACGGGGCACAATTGGTACCAATGGAAATTCCAATAGATTGTTGGAAGACCTGGTCTCCAAAAACCACATAGATATTGTCAATCAGAAACTCAAGCATCTTTTTAATGTTAACTTCAGAGTACTTGTGTGTACAATCAGAATATTTTTAAAAAAAATAATTTTGTAAATGACCAATGTCAAGGTAAGTACATGTGAATCTACGAGTTCCATTTTTATTGAAAAAACAGCTATCAATGATATCAAAAAGCCTAGATTTTAATCTATCGTGAGGAATGGTTGTCTATAAAGTTGAAAAGTCGTTAGTTTTTAAGCTGTTGATTTTGGTAAAATCTTGTGATTTCAAATTTTCCAAAAGTTCCTTGGAATTTTTAAGTATTCACATCTGATTTACACCACTTCTCGAATATATTGTTGCATAGTATTCTTGAAGTTTCTCCTTCACTACTGTTAATATCTTAGTGAGGAGTAAAGAAAGAGGCTTGGTCGAACATTTACTGGAACCCGCTATGTATCTTTGTTTCTAAGGATTTTTATGATGTTTTGAAATCCAATATACATATGGTAATTAAAATTCATTTTGGTTGTTTGGAATAATAAAAATATTCAAAACTGACATATGATTTTTGAAGAATTTCATCCTTAGAAAGAGAACGAGTATAAGTTGGATTAACATTTGTAGAATTAAATCCAAGTTCCTCTAAAATACATTTAATATAATAAGCCTTACAAACAAAGACAATGTTCTTACCTGCATATTTTTTTTCCTTTCTCCATAAAAAAAAACATTACACATAACCTGCATTTAATCAAATACATTTAAATAAATGTTGCTTATCTATCGGTGCGAGAGACAACCTTACATTAAAATTCATTTCTTGTACATTAATATGATAGGAGAGGGATCTAATTTATAAAAAGTTCTCTGAAGCTTTTATGAATATCATAAAAAAGTGAAGAAAGGGAATCAAAAACATAGTTTCACGGGTTTTACTATAGGAATTCAAAGCATCAAAGTTTTTACTGTAGTAAATCAAAGTTTAAAAGTTTTTACTATAATAAATCAAAGTTTTCACTGTAGTAAGTCAAAGTTTCAAAGTTTTTGCTTTGATACCATAGTTAACTATTACAGTAGACTATAGTTCACTATAGTTTACTAATAGTATTTTTGTTAGGGATGCGTAGCTAAGTTTATATAACCATATAAACTTCAAATACATTATAATTATTTTAGTGACCCATTTAATCCTGCAGTTATAGAGAGAATGTGTCTTCAGCGTAGTGCAGAATATAAGAATTCTATTCTTTGTACACAAAATCAAAATGAGCCATGTCAAGCCCCAATGCCTCAAACGATAGAAGGTATTGCTGTTTATATTTAGAAACTTCTGCAATTATAAATTTATGAAATTCTTTAAGTTTGCTTCCTGAGTTGAGATTTTGCAGATGTCTGTTTTATGATCAGGTCATGAAGTTATCCCCAAAAACTTGAGAAGACAGTGGCAGTAGAGGGACCCAATAGGAAGATGGAATGATTACAGTGATGAAATAAATGAGAAAATAGAGGCTTGCTACAGAAGGAATAGAGATTCAACAGTTGTCATTCAATTTAAAGGTCATTTGTAAGTAATGTATATTACCATGTCAAAGAATGAATTAAATTTAAATAATTTGAACATTCACAAAAAGAAATACTTGTACTTATTTCCAATTTTCTGCTGTACTTATAAAATTAGTTATTTTAAAATTAGGGATGTCAACAAGTATTCGACTATCGCTTGATCATATCGACTATCGACTAAATATATTTTTGCTCGTTTACTAATTCAACATTTTTACTATTAATCATGCTATTAATTCTAATTTATTCAAGTTGAGATTGAGGGAATATTTTTTCTTCAGCTAGGAAACGTTCAATTAAAGAGCTCCTAATCACAGAAACTCCCCTGATTTTTCCTATTTTCTTCGCAATGAAATTCACTTTTAAAGTATGCATGGACACTACAGTGAGCTAAATACTGTTTAAAATGATCTCTACCAAGAAGATGAAAATGAGAGCGTATGTGAAAACTGTGCTTCTTTACATAAATCGCCGAAGAACTCATATTAAAGATATGATTTTTTATATGTCGAAAGAATAGTCTTTAACGCTGTACAGTTTTCAGATTGATTCAGAAATTCAAAAGTAAAAAAAGGAGAGTTAAAATATTAATGTCAAATTGGTTGATTGAAATTTGTAGGGACATCAAAAAATTATCGATGCAATGTGCAACATGATATCTGAAAATGTCAAATTTACATTCAAAGACATTGCTTGGTCACTAAGCATTTCATCGTCGAAACATTTTATAGAATTATGACAACGGAAATGAATATAATAATATTTCTATCAGATATTTGCCTTATTTTCTTAAACTTGCCTAAGAGAAAAATACGTATTAAATGTGCCAACGGTCTACTTAAAAACAAATACTTTAACAAAATAGAAGATTTGTAAAATTTCCGTGATGTATGACAAAACGTGGGTGCACTTTTTATAGCCAACAAGAAAGGTCAATAATAAAATGTGGAATCAAAGAAAAGGCTAGCGTTCTTAGTATTGTAAAGAAAAACAAGTGCTCGAAGCACTTTTTATTAGTTTTCATTTTTTTCAAGGGACCCAGTACAACATGTAGATAATCCTAAAGGAAGGACCATCAATGGTAACTTTTATGTTCAAATTGCATTGAGGAAAGATAAACAGATTTCCTGGAAAGGAAGTCCAAATGCCGCTGTAAGGTTAAATATTGACCCGAGTTGAAAATTGGCCCGGGGTTGATTTTTTAACATTTTTCAAAAGTTTGATTTTTTTTTTCTAATCTCTGATGACCTCAACACGTTGAAAATTGACCCCCGCCTCCAGTGTAATTTCCTTGCACCTGGCAACGCTGCTGCAAATAAGTACAGAGAAATAAATGAAATTCTGAAGAAAAGAAACTTTACAGAGCTTTGCCATCCCCAATATTCGCTAGATCTCAGTCACCTTTTTATTCTAAAAATGCATGAAAATAATCAAAGGAAGATTGTACAATATTAGATATGTCTTGGAAAGTGATATTCATCAGTGTCTTTGGGGCATCCCTAAGGATGTGTATGCTGAGGTTTTCTGAGGTTTCCAAAAAGGTGTATGATTATGAATTATATTTTTATATTTTGAAGATAAGTACACAAACTGTATGCAGGTCACATATCAATAATTTAGCTGGAACTAGACACGTTAACATGGCGTCGAACAATAAATTAGTTAGATGCTTAAGCGTCTTCAGAAGAAATGACGAATCATTATATTTGAGAAAGTGTATTTGGAAAAAAAAAATATGCGGTAAAACAATGTTTTTCATTCAGAAACTTGAACATGGACGTGTATTTCTACTAATGAAATACTTGTATTGAGAAACAAGTGTTTGATACAGTAGTATATACATAATGAGTGTTCTTGTACAAGTAGTCTGCGAAAAGACATAAAGATGAATTTACATGAAACAAAATATTTTAAAGGTCATACGAAACGATTCTTAACACTAGGATTTTACTTTTTAAACATAAAGACTGGTATGAAAGAATGTCAAATTGCGTTTTGTAAAAAAAAAATTGCCTTTGCTTAACTGAAAAATGAAGACC